ATGTATCATTTGCCTTTCTGTATGTGGTTTATTAGACATAATATTCTCCGGTTTCATTCCTGTTCTCACAGATTATGGAATGTCATCCTTTTATGCTGGAAGCTATTCCTTGGTGTCTGTATACTACATTTCATTACCTGTTCATTATTCCTTATCAGTTGACAGGCACTGAAGTTTTTGGCTGTAGTAAGTAAGGCTGCAATAAACATAGGCGTGCAGGTGTGTATTTTACTTTATTTTAGTTTTCATCAAATTTCTTCTTCTTGCACATGTTCACAATGCATACTGACTGACTGTTCTCATTCCCCAATTCCCCATCATACCTGACAACCTCTCCTCTTCTCCACAAATCTCTCTCACACATTGAAGAATATCTATTTTGTTGGGGTTTTTTGTTCCACTGAGATTAATCAGTGCTGTCTTTGTGACCATTCACTGGAGCCTGATGAACTCAGCAGTGGGTACATTTATTAGTTACTTTTATTTTGATGTGATAAAATACCATGACAAAAAGTGAGCTATAGGAGAAAGAGTTCCTTTTTATTTGTGGTTCCAGAGGGATCAGAATCCATGATGGCATGGTAGCAGAAGCAGGAAGCTGAGAGATCACATCTCAAACAAAAGCATGAAGCAAAGAGAGTGAACTGGAGGTGGGGCAAGGCTTTGAATTCTCAAAGCCCATCCCCCAGTGACATACTTCCTCCAGCAAGGCCACACCTCCTAAACCTCTACAAACAGGGCCACCAGTGTGCAATGAGATTAGCCAGACTCGAAATCTATATATCTCACTGAACTTTTATATGGCTAGAATTGTCATTCTGAGGTTGGGGAATCTCACTATCAATTACACTTCCACTATTAGTTACATTTTATGCACTTATCTACCTACCACAAAAAAAGTCACAACAGAGTTAAGACTGTGTATACAATTAACTTTATATGCTCTTTCACAACTCATGTGTCCTTTACCTTCATGCTGTCCTTCCTCATCACCTAATATCTATCCTTTCTTGATCTCTTTCTACATGCATATATACTGTACCCACATGTACATTTGTTTATAAACACACACATATGTAATATATAAATGTATATCATATATATAACATATATATAGTATAAGCTAGGACTTGCATATAAGGAAGAATATGCAAGTTTTTTCTTTTGAAGATTGTGTGACCTTAATATTATACATTTAAAATCCATTCATTTCCCTGCAAATTTTTTTTTTTTTTTTTTGGTTTTTCGAGACAGGGTTTCTCTGTGTAGCTTTGCGCCTTTCCTGGAACTCACTTGGTAGTCCAGGCTGGCCTCGAACTCACAGAGATCCGCCTGGCTCTGCCTCCCGAGTGCTGGGATTAAAGGCGTGCACCACCACCGCCCGGCTCCCTGCAAATTTTACATTTAATTTTTCTTTATAGCTGAGTAGCATTCCATTTTATATATGTGCCAGATTTTCATTGTTTATTCATCTGCTGATGGACAACTAAGTTGGTTTCACTTCTTTGTTATGATAAAAAAAAATCAGCAATAAACATGATGATGAAAATACCATGCCCAGGAGTGCAATAGTTGGGTCATATGGTAATTCTATTTTAATTGTTTTGGGGGGAGGCTCCAAACTCATTCTGTAATGGCTTTATCAATTTGAACTGCCACCAGCAGTTAATAATGGATTTATTTTTCCCTGCAGTCTCTCCAATGCTTTTTGTCAGGTTTCTCTTTTAAATTATTATCTCCAATTTTATTTAATTTTTTTCTATTTTTATTTCTTTTAATTTTCTTTATGATCCTTACATGAATACGTACTATAAACTGCCAATCAACAAATGAGGCAATGAGTTGAAAACACAGCTTTTTTTTCCTTTTGTTTTGTTTTGTTTTGTTTTTTCGAGACAGGGTTTCTCTGTGTAGCTATGGAGCCTGTCCTGGATCTCGCTCTGTAGACCAGGCTGGCCTTGAACTCACAGAGATCCGCCTGGCTCTGCCTCCCAAGTGCTGGGGTTCAAGGCATGTGCCACCGCTGCCCGGCTAATACACAGCTTTTTAAAAGCCCACAAATGGCCAATATTTTAAAGTGTTCAGTATCCCTAGCCATCAGGGAAATGTAAATTAAAACTGCTTTCTGATATCACCTCATCCTAGTCAGAATGGCTATCAATGAGAAATCTAGTTAAGATCCTAAGGGGTGGGGGAAAGAAGGAGGCCTAGAGAGCGTTAGATAAATACAACCTTGGGCTGGAGAAATAGCTTAGCAGGTAAGAAGAGCACAGGCTGCTCATCTAGAGGACCCAGGTTCAATGCTCAACACCAACATCACAGCTTACAACCATCAGTTATAACAAGTCTTTCTCTGTCCCGCCAGCCAGCTCCCAAATAACGACACAGAGACATATTATTAATTAGGAAAGCTTGGCCTTTAGGTTAGGCTTGTTTTTTAACTAGCTCTTATAACTTAAATTAACCCATATTTTATTAATCTATGTTCTGTTATGTGACATGACCTTTCTTCCATCTTGCACCTCCTGTTTCCTCTCTGTGTCTCCTGGCATCTCCCCTGTGTCTAGATTCCCCTCCTCTTCCTCTCTCTCCCTGGAAATCCCACCTATACCTCCTGCCTAGCTATTGGACATTCAACTTTTTATTATACCAACCACAGCAGTATGTCTTCACACATTATACAGATACCCCACAACAATCAGTAACTCCAGTTCCATAGGATCCAACATCATCTTCTGGCCTCCACAGGCATATCCATGGTGCACAGACATACATGCAGGCAAAATACTCACAGCACATAAAATAAAATTAAGAAATAAAAAATTATAAATAAAGCCTTTAATCCCAGCACTCGGGAGGCAGAGCCAGGCGGATCTCTGTGAGTTCGAGGCCAGCCTGGGCTACCAAGTGAGTCCCAGGAAAGGCGCAAAGCTACACAGAGAAACCCTGTCTCGAAAAAACCAAAAAAAAAAAAAAATTATAAATACAGCCATTTAGTCCCTTTAGTGCTGCTTGTATTTATATATTTTTAGGATTGTCCATTTGGTATTGGATAACCAGTTAGGGGCTCATTCCCGGTGAAGACTGATTCTTTCTTTTTCAGCAGTCTTAGATGTTTGTAGCTCTTCATCTAGGGGTGAGGCCTTGAAAGAGTTCCACCATCTGTGCTGACATGTCAACTGATGATGTCACTGTCTGGGACATAAAATAATATAATTTCTGTGTTTTTTTAAACATCCCTAGTGTTAATTATCCCTCTTCCCTCCATTCCATTTGTATTGCTCTCTCTTATCCAATCCCCAGTTAAATCCCCCACTCCGTTTTCCCCATTTTCCCATTATAATACCAGTGACTTGCTATTTCCCTCTCTAGACCCACTTCCTTCCCCCACTCCTTGGTTCCTTAACCTTACATGCCAATCAACAAGAATCACAAAGCATTTTGATATCATAAGAAGAAATGCAGAGTCTCAGAGTCTCTTGGGAAGACAAAATGCTGACTACCTGCTTCTGCTTCATGTGTTGATGTGTGCATTTCCAGAGATTATGGATCAGAGTGAGCCAGGAAATGAGGAGGTCTGAGGGAGCGCCTCATACCACCTCCACCTCTCCCTAGCCCAAGAGGTGGCAATTTCCGTGCAGACCCCATTTAATCAGGCCTCCAGCTGCCAAGTGCAAACTCTTGTCAGTGCTTATAGCAAAGAGGGCATGAGCATCTGGTGCCTTTTAGTTGTCAGGGAGAAAGAAACATCAATAAGCACTCAGTGAAATGATTGAAAGGACTGTTTGCTCTGGGGCCTTCTTTCCGCTCCTGTGACTTTCCCAGTCCCTGATGAGGCTGCAAAAGTCCCATCCATAGGAAAAAAAACTCCATAATGTAAATAAATGGAAAGTCAAGCTTCCAAACACGCTTTGCTGAAGCTGCCCCCAGGATGCATTTGAATCTCCTTTTCACATGCTTTGTCATTTGACTTAATAGGAACTTAACTCTGTACATAGCTTAGTAAATGTACTGTATACATAAACCCAAGCTGTTAAATATGTACTTAGCTTATGCCATGGAAATTAGTTAATAAAAAGGGGAAAAATAAATATGGAGACTCAAACCCACACACCATGATAGGGCTATCTTCTCACTATGAGTTCACTTCCCTTGCATCCACAAAATGGTTTCATGTATATTCTTATTAGTCAATATTGATTCATCTAATGGTTTTAGATGTGCCTATTTATATAGTTTTAGTGACATTATAATATACACATAGCATAACTTATCCTAAGATTCTGGTACCATTTTATCAATGCATGTCAATTTTAAACTTCTTACCACCCTTTGCATTGCTGTGTTCTCCTTGACTATAAAATCACCATCTCAATACTTCCTCTCTAAGCATCTAGAAAACATCAGCTAGCATTGTAAGTTTTGTCTCAACCATTAAACACCATAGAGACAATTCTAGAAGAGAAGTCTGTTGATTTGTTCATGTCTGTTTGCTGTGCCCGTATTTCTTTCCTTTTTGAAAAGATCACTTCCTTTGTATGTGAGAAACTTCTTTCTATCATGCCTTTTAAGAACAAATTGTGTGTGTGTGTGTGTGTGTGTGTGTGTGTGTGTGTGTGTGTGTGTGTGTGTGTGTATGTGTACTTATTCCATGGCATACATGTACAGATCAGAGAAAATTTGCAGAAGTCAATTCTCTCCTTCCACTATGTGACTTGAACTCAGGTCTTCAGACTTGGTGGCAAATGCCTCTACTCACTGAGCCATATTGCAGACCTTTGACCATTCTTTTAGGGTAGAGGTGTTAGTGAGTAATTTTCTTAGTTTCTTTCATCTAATGCTTCTCTTAATATTGGAAAAATATTTGGGTCAGATATGGGCTTGTGAATTTGCAATGTTTTTCTCTTGCCCTTTGAAATGGTATAGCATTTCTTTTTTTAAAAAAAAAGATTTATTTATGTATTATGTATACAGTGTTCTGTCCGCATGTATCCCTGCAGGTCAGAAGAGGGCGCCAGATCTCATTACAGATGGTTGTGAGCCACCATGTGGTTTCTGGGAATTGAATTCAGGACCTCTGGAAGAGCAGCCAGTGCTCTTAACCACTGAGCCATCTCTTCAGCCTGGTACAGCATTTCTTTATGACATCTGTGTCTTCAGTTGAGAACAGCTGCTGTCACTGAGTCAGCTTTCCCATATAGGTAACGTTTTACTTCATTCTCAGTGATCTCAAGATAGTTTTTGTCTGGTTTTCAGATATTTCACTATGCTGTGTCTTGACTATAATTCTTTGGGATTATTTTCATATGGAATTATTATTGAATACAGGGCCTTATGACCTCTCTCAAACTTGAGGCATTATCAGGAATTGCTTTTTTTCAAATACATTCAAGCCATATTCTCTTTCTATTTTATGGTCCTCCAGTTTCCCAAAGATTTATTTTTCATGTTCAGTCATGTTTACCTCTGTTGTTCAGACTAATTTCTATTCATTTATCCCCAGTTTCAGGAAATCTTTCTCCTCTCTCTGCTCTACTCTTATGATGCTTTATTCTACTTCTAATTTCACTTTACTGTATTTTGCACCTTGCCTTTGCTGGAAAGGATGGAGCCATTGTTTTTCAGTGATGTTTGTCTTAAGAAAAGCAATTATGCCAGGCAGTGGTGGCGCACGCCTTTAATCCCAGCACTCGGGAGGCAGAGGCAGGCGGATCTCTGTGAGTTCGAGGCCAGCCTGGGCTACAGAGCGAGATCCAGGACAGGCTCCATAGCTACACAGAGAAACCCTGTCTCGAAAAAAAAAGAAAGGAAGGAAGGAAGGAAGGAAGGAAGGAAGGAAGAAAAGAAAAGAGAAGAAAAAAGAAAAGCAATTACTATCTAAAAGTATTATGTTAGCCCTTCCTTTGCCAGGTTCCTTGGCTAGAGTAAGCAAGTGTTTAGAAGACTCTATTATCTGCATAAGTTGGCTTTTATGGGTTGCTGCTTTTTCTAATACCCAGGCTGAGATATATTAGACAAAAACAAATGTATAGAACTCATCACTTTGTCGTTCCTTATGACTTAAGATCATATCTGTTCTTCTTCCTCTCTGTACCTTTCATTGTAGTGAGTCCCACCAGCCAGCTCCCAAATCATGACATAGAGACTTCTTACTAATTATGAAGGCTCGGCCTCTATCTTAGGCTTGTTCCTAACTAGTTCTTATAACTTAAATTAACCCGTTTCTATTTGTCTACCTCCTGCCACATGGCTTGTGGCTGTTACTTCTTCTCCTGCATGTCCTGCTTCCTCTGTGTCTCTCAGCACCTCTGCCTTCTTCATCCAGTGTTTTCTCTGCCCTGAAAATTCTGCCCAGCTATTGGCCATTTTGCTTTTTATTGAGCCAATCCTAGTAACACATCTTCACAGTGTACAGAAAGATTATCCCACAACATTTCATAGTATTATTATGTTTGTTTTGCACATAATATCTGGGGCTTTAGTTGTAGTTAACATAAAGAATATAAATATGTGTGTTTGTATTACCTCGATTCTCAAAAATCAATGTCAGATAATTTTCATGCTTGAAATTTTTTTTTGGAAAAAGTAACAAAACTAAGGTAATACAAACACCACAGAATATATAAACTGTTAAGAATTTAAAATTGAAACACTAAAAATGCTTGTATATTATCTGCTGAGTATAAGATCATTTACATTCACCACCATCAACTTTATGTCTTTACTCGTGGTCTTCTCAACATAAAAACAGGGCTGCCACCTCTTCTATAATGACAAACCAACAGGGACAATTAGTCCCGTATCTCATTAATGAGGCAAGCCTTCCTCGTTTGCAGAAACCTCTTTTCTCTTTTCCACAGCACACTCCTTAGTTATTTTTATGTAGATTGGGATCCTTATTTTATGAGCGCATGCACATACACACACACACACACACACACACACACACACACACACACACACACACACGCACACACACACACGCACACACACAATCTGACAATCTGGCATTCTTCAATACTACACAATATAGCTACCCAGTTTGTCACTTTTATAGTATGCTAGGTGGAATATATAAGAATAGAATTAGCTAGATGAAAACTAAATTTTTCTGCACAGAAAAGTGTAAAGCTTTTCCAAGACTTCAGAGAGGCAGATAAAAGAGAAGTTGTATGTCAAGGGAGAGAGGAAAAACCGAAAGACTAGAACCTAAAAAGACTTGGGGAGGAAGCATATCCAAGGTAGTTTCTGTTGTGAAATTCTAATGGAATAAACTCACCAATACCTTGAAGTCATTAGTAAAATTCAAACAGCCCACACAATTGGTGAGTGATTTTGAGTCATTTTATTTCAACTCTTGTTCATCGAGTAATTTGCATTTTATATATTTAGATTCTTTTTTTTTTTTTTCAAGTTTCAAAGACTCTGGATCTAGCCATACCAGAGAGTACTACAAGGCTAGGCCTCTGGCTTCTTCAGAACTAGAGAGTAATGGAAGACCAGGCCTCTGGCTCCAGTGAGATCAGAGAACAAAGGGATGACAAGGCCTCTGGCTTTCCCAGGAGCAGAGAGCAGCTGGCCTTCAGGGCTCTGCTTCTGTGGAACCAGAAGCAGTGTATGACTAGGCTTCTGGCTTCTACAGGACCACAGAGCACAGTGTGTCCACATATCTGGCTTCTGCAGGACCACAGGGCACAGTGTGTCCACATATCTGGCTTCTTTGGCACCAGAAAGCACCCCGCAACAAGGTCTCCATCCCAGTGACCTCAGAGATAAATACAGATAAATCTCAGCTTTGGCACCGAGTGTGCCCAGGGTTTCCCGAGAGACTGGGGCTTTGGTTCCAGTAGTCTCTAAGGCCAGTGTGGATGTGGGTTTCCAGAGTCTATATGACTGTGGTCTTAGAGGTTACTTTGAGTTCATGGCTCTATCCACAGCCCACTGATAGTAGACAGACTTTGGTGGGTCCGATGTTTGGTATCTCCCCCCTCCCCCCGCTCCCCGCATGTTCACAAAATCCAGAGGGTCACAAAGGTTTTGACTGTACCATGTCACCTTGCTGCTCAGCCTGCAGCCCCACCCTTGGTCCTGTTGGCACACTGACAAGTCCAGATCACATCAGTGACTGCATTTGACAATCAAAACCAAGTTTCGCCAGTCCCCGTAGCTAAACTTCAGGCAGATCTACCTCTCGGACAAATTACAGAAAACAAAATATCCAAATAGGATTGGGCAAGGGGAAAACTGAAAAACAAACCCACTATAATATGTGCAAAACACAGCAAAGAATATGATACGACCACCAAATGTTATCATCAGCCAACCAACTCCCCTATAAGGAAATCTAAAATTACAGAGAGAGCAGAAATATCTGAGAAAGGCTTCAGTCTTAATTTTTGAAAAGAATTCATGATCATATAGAAGAGTCAAACAAAAAGATGCAGAACGTATGGAAACTCACCCCAGGCCTCTACAAGACAGTCTCCAAAGTGAATGTCACAGTTAGTAAATTAGAGGCAAAAGTATGGGGGTGGGGTGAAGCAAGGATATTGAAACATTTCAAAACACTCAAACAGAAATACTTGGAACCAGGTGGACAATCAAATAAAATAGCAATACATGCCATCATCAACAGGCAAGACCATGGAGAAGAATTCATTTCAAGGATGGAGGACAAATTTGAGACAATAATACAAAGAGATGCATACAAGAGGGAAGAATGAAAGCATGTGAGCAATGTTTCCCCAATTCTGGGATATGCTCCAGAGGTTAAACCTGAAAATTAATGGTGTAGAAGAGCAGAGGCAGATCAAATGTCATAAAAGACAGTGGAATAAAAGCATAGGAGAATATTGCTCAAATTTAGAGAATGGAGGAGCCATCTAAATACAAGGAGCATGCAGAACTGCAAACAGACATGATCAGAGAAGAAACTCCTCAGGACAGATCACAGACAAAATGTTAAAAAAAAAAAAAAGTAGGTTCCTTTGAGACTTGGCCACTATTCCTGGTGTGAACCAAGGGTCTCCCTAGTTTTTCCTCACCACCTGCCTCAGCCATTCCTCCCAGGCCATCTCCAGTCTTCTGTGATTCTCCACCAAACACAGAACACTCTCAAGTGTTCCCATAGGCCACAACAAGGATCCCATAGCCACAACACTTGGCTGGGACCTAGGTAGGCTGGCTACCTGTGCCCTCCTTCCCCTCCTCCATTCTGGTCTCTCTTGGGTACCCCTAGGTCAGTTGCTACTGCATATCTCAGCCCCCTTTTCCAACCCATCTCCGTTCCCTTGGGACTCCTGCCATCTGTGGTTATATCCAGGCTGACTTCTGTGTCAGCCGCCCTTCATGAAGCTGGACCCCGAGTCCTGTTTAAGAGACCTCCAGAGTCAGCCCTTTCCCCTGCATGCTGGCTTTTCACCTACCCAACCCACTGTACCGATCTGAAACTGCTTGAGAGTATGAAACCTGCAACCCAGAGTGGCCACAAGATGGGAAACTAGTCGTCATTCTGCTGAGCCACAACACAGCAGACTGGCATGACAGCAATCAAAGACCCAAACGGTAACTCAACAAAGGTGAGATCAGGTATCCACACCAAGAAAAAATACAAATGTCATCACTCTAGATCCCTAGATCCCTTTGCAAAAGCACAAACATCAGCAACCAAGACAAATACCTCCTCCAGAAGCCAGCACCCCATTGTAAGATGCCCCAAGAAAGCCAATTTAACTACAAAAGAAATAAGGACTTCAAAATAGCAATTATGAATATGTTCAAGGACCTTAAAGAGGATGTGTAATTCATGCTACAATGAAGACCATTAAAACACAAACACGTGTATGAAATAATGAAAACAATTCAAGATATGAAAGAATTTAACAAAGAAATAGAATCTCTAAAGAAAACTCAAGCTGATTAAAACTCAAAATGGAAAACTCGGGTAGCCAAACAAAAGGATGAAAAATAAACCTCACCAACAGACTGAATGAAGTAAAAGAGAGAATTTCACATCTTGAAGACAAGGTAGAAGAAATGGATAGCTCAGTCAAAAACAATGTTAAATCTAAAGAGGATCCATGCAAAAAAAAAAAACACCCAGAAAATATGGGGCACTAAGAAAATATCAAACAGAGGAAGAAGAAGAAACCCAGGTCAAAGACACAGAAAATGTTTTTAACAAAATCATAGAAGAAAATTT